TCGAGGCTAGAGTCTTTTTTACTAGTGTATGTTTGTGATCCATCATGAGTACACTTATCATGGGGAATTGTCCATATACACATCTCATCTTGATCCTTTCTTCTTCCCCTTCTTCTCCCCTCCCTCTTCCTTACCACCATCCCCAAATTCCTCTCCCGTCTCCACAATCTGTCAGTTCCTTTTATTTTGCTCTTTATGTTCTGAGTTTCTCATATAAAAGAAATATGGTGATATTTAACCTTCTGTGTCTCATTTATTTCACGCAGCGTCATGGATGCAAGATGCATCCCTTTTCCCTACAAATGATTCAAAGTTATCCTTCTTTATGGCCATTGCTTTATATACCGGGTTTTATCTATCCATTCATCTGTTGATGAATCGCAATTGTTACAGTTTTGTCTGCTGTTCACCTCTTCCTGGTGGCTTGGCTTCTTCATCAGGGGCCTTGAGTGTGAACCCAGGCTCTGAGCCCCGTGCTGGGTCACAGCTCCTCTGCCATGGGGACAGGAATGCTCTTCCCTGGGCTGCAGTGGGCACTGGAGAAGGTGTTACATGGAAAGGGGCCCAACACACAGCACATGTTTGGCAGTTTCCTTTTTCCTCCTGGTTTCGCAAGCTCATTCTTCTGATCAGATTTTAGACTTTCTGATAGCAACTAATCTCATGCTCTATGATACGTTCTGGGCCACGTGCATTTTCCAGCCAGGCTAGCCCTGGGCCTGGTGGCTTAGGATCAAACCTCCCTGGAAGGGAACAGAAGGTCACTGAGGTCAATGGTGATAGTGATATCCCTGTGAGGGTTTTGTGCACACAAAGGAAAGGACAAATTTAATTCAGAATGGAGTGACTGGCGATTGGCAGAGGCTTCATGGCAGAGGTGCTTTAACCTAATGCAGGAACCTGTACTCTAGCTCCTCAGGATCTCCCTTGGGGCTGATTCTAACTAGAAATTGCTCTCCCCTAAAGAAATACAAAGGCTCTTCCTCTGCCTTGGGCCCCTTGCCTCTCGGCAGCTCCTGCCAGACAGCCAGAGCCTCCTGGAGCCAGACCAGGCAGGCCTTCTGGGACGAGAGTTCAGAAGTCACTAAGGTCACAGGCAGGCAGGGAGGAGAGAAGCGGGGCAACTGTGCAGGCCCTCTCTGCAAACAGCTGATCAGAATCACGGCCGCAACAAACAGCATGAGAAGGGTTTGGCTGCAAAGGATTTAACATGAGGGTTGTATTTAGAGGCAAGGAAAAGGTGAGAGAAATCAGCGAGAGGTTGAGTAGCCTGAAGTAGCAACAGGGAGAAGCCCAGGCCCTTCATGGCTGAAGAGGAAGTGCAGAACTGCTTTGTAGGAGGCTGAAAGGGAAGAAAAGCACCTCCATCTTTCTGTCCATCTATGGTTGCAGGCCTGCAGGTGGCTAAGAAGGAACTGGGGGCCGGGGCGGGGGAGATGGACAGAACCCTCGCCTCTCTTCTGCGCTCCTCTCCTCTGCTGGAGCAGCCCCTTTGGCCCTAGTTAGGAGCGATGAGAAGTGAGGGGATCAGGGAGCCCAGGGGATGCCAGGCTTAGGGATCAACATCCTAGGGCTCAGAGCAGGCCGAGAGGGCAGTAAAATGTGTTGGACGGGAAGGACCACAGAAAAGAATCACAATACAGCACCTGTCCAGCATCTCTCAGAGAAAACAGAACAGCCAAGCTGAGGGGCAAGCTCTCTGCAAGAAAGACAATGCCATTTAAGGGGAAGAGGGAGCCTAGTTGACAGGCAGCTTTCCCACCCAGGCTGGAGTATTTGCATAGCATCGGGGTCCTGTGTCTGGCACATCTGCCAGAGTGCTCTGCACAGCCACAGGCATCTCATTCTTCGGCCCCTGCACAGCTTCGTGGGGTGAAGGGGTTGCTCTCCAATCCCGGCCCTGGCCCATCTGCCTTCAGTGTCACCATGAGAGAGGCAGCTATGACTCAGCTTTAATCATAAAACTAATGAGAGTTATGACCTGGTGACAAGCAGGTAAGCAGCTTGCTGAGCACACTTGGAGGGAATGAAGAAGGAAGCCCAAGCCTGCTGGCTACAGAGGCAGGCCATCACCCCCTGTGCCAGACTGTCCTCAAAGCTGCCTGGAGCCCACGGACACCTCATGGAGGGAGCAGGAGTCCTGCCATGGCTTGTGCAATACCTCCTGGTCAAAGGGTCAAAGCTTGGCTGTCTGAGGGGTCTTGCAACACCAGCCCAGCACACTCAAGTTTCCAGCCATGCTAATCGCCATGGCATCCTGACCACATCCCACTTCTTCACGCCTGGGCCTTTGCACAGGCTGTCCCCTGTGCTGGGACATCGCCTTCCTGCTGATCTCCTCAAGGCTGGACTGGCTTCACCACGGTTCAGTACTGGTCGCTCCATACCCACCCTGACATCCTGAGTCCTGCACTCATGGGCCCTTACAGTGCTCACCACGAGTCTGGCCCTTGACCATCCCCCACCCCAAGCTGCAAGCCCTGGAGGGGCTGACACCCACCTGTCTTTCTTACTCCTGCACCCCTGGAGCCCAGCCCAGTGCCCGGCACCAATATGTAAAGAAGGTATCAGACGCTGGCGCAGACTCAGCTCTGCCCACGCTGTGGTCAGTCACTTAAACCCCAGCAAATGCTGCAAGATCAGGGGCTTCTCTCAGCATGGGCACAAAGGACACCCAGGCCCAGGAGAGACTCCCAGGGTCTGGCTCCAAGCTAGGTCCACATACACATGTGTGAGCTGATGACCAAAGAAGGTGTTCCAGGCCCTGGCCCTGAGTCCAGCCCCAAAGAAGCCACTGTGGGGCTTCTCACAGGGACTGGCTGATGACAAGGGGAGCCTGGCAGGGCCAGGGCCCCGCTGTGTGTGAAGAGACAAGCCCTGCCTTGGAAAGACTTGCGTGTGGGACTGTTGCTTGTTTCCTGGCTCTGGGGCCTTGGGTGAGGTGTCTAAGCGTCTAAGCCTCAGTTTTCTCTGTGGAATGGAATAGTAATAGGCCTGCCCTGCCGTGTGGGAGAATGAATGCCACGTGGGCAGTGCTCAGGGCAGGGCGTGGCTTGGGATGAGGATCAGCAGTGCCAGCGCTTCCTGGTCATGCTGTCCTGTCTGGCAGAGGGCAGTGGAATTGCTACCAAGTCGGGTAGCAGAGGAGACCAGAAAGAGGAAAGGGGGAGTTCTGAGCAGGATCTTGAAGACCAGCCTTCCAGAGGTGAGGGGAAAGGCAGGTGGTGTTCCTCCTGGGAGTGAGGGCTGTCAGCCAGTAGGCCAGGGGGCTGTGGGCAGGCAGGAGAGCCCAGGTGGGGCCCAGCATGGAGGGGCCTTGCATCAGGGGGCAGTGAGCAAATCCAGAAACCATGTCAGGCCCAGCTTCCTCTCTGGTGCAGTGTCCTGTCTTGCCGCCCCCAAGCCTGGTGGACTCGCCCATGGGATTCTGTGAATGCCTGCAGTGGGCATAGTCATCCAGGTGTGTGTGAAGGTGATGTATAAGGCCAGAGAGGAGGCTAAGTCTTCATGCCCCTGGAGGCCTCCTCCTGCCCCCACAAGGGCTGCCTGAGCCCACCCCTCCCCACATTGTCCCTCACAAGTGGAAAGGTTGGAATCAACCCCTCCCCTTTTATTTGTTACTGGGGATCAAACCCAGGGCCTTTGCACAGAGCTACATTCTCAGCCCTTTTTTATTTTGAGACAGGTTCCCTCTGAGTCACCAAGTTGCCCAGACTAGGCTTGAATTTATGATCCTCCTGCCTCAGCCTCCCAGAGTGCTGGGATTACAGGCATGTGCCACCTAACCCCACTCAAACTCTCTTGTTATAATGCTGTATTCTGTGCAGACACTCTGGGGCGGAGATGGCAGGGAAGAGGAGGAAGAGAATGGAAAAGCTCAGCATCAGATCCCAGCTGATCGGGCTGCCCTGTTCAGGGAAGGTCCAGGACTAGTAATTCTGTCTCCTTGCCCCTGGCCTTGCCCACTTTGGCAGGAAGTGCTTCAGGGGCCTGCACTGGGCATCTCAGAGCCCCAAGTCAGAGCCCAGGGCACACTGTTCACAGGGGGCTGGGCTTGGAGAGGGGCGAGACCCTGTGCAGCCCGCTCCCCCTGGGAAGTGCCGGGCCCCTCCTGTGTGCAACCTGACAATGCCCCTGCTATGCCAAACCACTTCTGCACACTGCCCTGTCCTGGAGTCCCCAAAGGAGCCAGGGACAGGACCAGCAGAAACTGCCTCGGGGCAGCTCTTACAGCCGCTCTGCGGGCTGCTGCCAGAATTCCCTTTTTAAAAAACGTATTGATGCATATTAATTGTACAGAATAGTGGGTGTCTTTGTGGCACTTTAATGCACCCATGTAGCATATTTTTGATCATACCTATTCCCCCATTACCCTTCCTTCCCCCCCTTCCTCTTTCCTGTCTTCCTCCTACTTCCATGTCTTATTTTACCCATATTTCTCAAATGAGAAGTGTTATTTGGCCATAAAGAAGAACAAAATCATGTCATGTGCAGGACAATGGGTGGAACCAGAGATCATCCCTGAAGAGAACTAAACCAGACTCAGAAAGGCAAGGATTGCATAGGAGTCCTTTTTAAAAAGCTAAAGCTGAGTGACTGTGTCCAGTGTCAAAGTGGGGAACCACGGGCAGGTGTCCCTGATGCCCTGTCAGCCTCCCACATTCCACTGTGGCCCCTGGAAGAGCAGTCCAGTGACTCAGCCACCTGGCGACTTGAAACTCTGCTGACTCCACTCACTTAGTACCATGCTGAGCCTACTGTGATCACTACACATGTGACCCTGTGCTGGCTGTGTGATCTCACGCACAGTGTGTGGCATCTCATGCTACAGAGCCCTCTTGACCCCGATTCTCCCTGCCCCATTGTCAGCCTCCTGTCTTATCCCTCTCCCCCCCCTTCTCTCTCTTTATAACTGTTGTTCACAAGAGTAGCATCATCTTCATGTTCTTCATCTTCCATCGTCAAGATAATAAACCCACAGCTTCCCCTACCAGGTGCAACGGTGTGCAGACACTCACTGTCTTGTAAGCACTGTTCTCCTAGCAGCGCTGTTGTTCCTTCCTCCCTCCTTTCCACCTCATGTGACAGCCGAGCTCAGAGGGGACCCCGTCCTCCAGGCAGGCCCTGCACACTATGCCTGCTGTCTACTTCCTGTCTCCCCTCTTTCCTCTCTAGAGGCCTTAGGGGTTGTTGACCTCTTAATCATCATGGTGCAAATAACACTCAGCAACATATTGGAGCAGAGAAGGAATCAGTGCCTCCTGCCAGGCCACCCAACTCCTCTATCCAAACCTGGTCCTTTCAGCACCCATCAAGGAGGGCCCGGCCCCAAGGAGCGAGAGTCCATGGGAGTCTCCTGTTGGTCCGAGTGCAGACCTCCAGTGGAGAGTGAGAGGGAGGCAGTGTCCTAGGAGCTCTGGGTCATCAGTGTCTGCTCTTTTGTTCTCTGCAACCACTCTGCACAGGAGATTCTGTTGGCCCACTAGCATAATGGATGGGAAGCAGGGCACCAAGGGGCGATGCCTGCCCGGATCTTGCAGCTGCTGAGCAGGGAGATGAAATGCCTGCTGGACCTGGGATCTGGGGCCTCCAGAGACCCATATGCTCAACTCCTCTGATGCACCGCCTCAGGTTTGTCAAGCTCTTCTTGTGTACCATGCACAATGGAGCTCTCTTCTCTCTATGATACTTATTCATTCCTAGCAAAACTGAGATGTCCTACTGGTCACCTTGCCTTAGAGATCAGGATGGGCCCCATGGACTAAGGCCTCAATTGAAAGAAGGAGCTTCCAGAGCAAAAGGCAAACATAGCTTGAACCATCATCCAAAGCTTAACTGAGGAAAAGGGAAGGAAGGAAGAACAAAGGATAAGAGCAAGGACAGAAAGATTTCCAAGAAGTGGAACAGAACATTTCATAGAGGAGGTGGGGCTGGAGGGGCACTGAAATTACAGATTCATCCTTCGTGCCTTCTAGCCTGGATCCCGCCTCGGCTCTCCCAGTGACCTGACATAAACCCCACACCAGCCAGCAGTGCGCTCTTCAGACGTCCCGACTGCTCCTCTCTCTCGCCAATCATATTTAACACGTGTTTATCAATAACACTCGTCTAGAATCATGCCCACATTCTGCCATCAGTCTATAGTGAAAGAGAGAGTGGTAGAGATTACCCTCTTATCTTGGATACAATCAAACATATATAGTTTAGCATAAAAGTACATATAAATAAAATTGCTACCTGCCCCACTAAGTCATGGAGCACCTGAGTTCTCTCACCTGGCCAGCTTCTCAGGAGAGGACGGTGAGTTCAGAGAGACCACACTCAGGCAGGAGTGGCCTGGTGGGGAGCCCCTGTCTGGAGACAGTTGGGGTGGTCGTAACGGTGCACATGGGAAGTGCACTGTGCTCTGGCATCTGGCGAATGGAGGCCAGAGAGGCTGCTAAACATCCAAAAATGTACGAAGACCTGAGCCCCAATGCACACAGTGCTCAGGTTGAAAGCCCCAGCCCAGTCCTTAAGCTTGGACTAGAATTAGATGCGTGCATGTTGCCTGGGGCCAGGCAACCTGAGTCTGCGTCAGCGCTACACTACCTGGCAATGTGTACAAGTTACTAGCCTCTGACCTCCAGGTTTCTGGCACTGAAAGGGTTAATAACACCACGGCAAGGGGGACAGTAGCATTAAACAGGAGCCCTATAGTGTGAGGGCTGAAGGGTCCCTCCATACACAGCATCTCTGTAGCCACCCCAGAGTGCCTGGGAAGGGAAAGTCAAAGGCCATTAAGATACAGGGCCACTGAGGCATGCTAAATGCTGAGGATCTGCCTCCGTGGGTTGAGACAGTTCCAAAACCTTGGTCAGATTTCACAAAAATTATAAATGTGTCCAGGAAAAGCTTCCCTCCAAATACCCTGGGATGTTCTCCCAAGCTTGTGTCACTGTGGACCCTTCCGCAGACTGCAGTCTCTGTGGAGCCAGGGGCAGCGTCCTTTCCTGTGTGCTGGCTGTCCCACCCCTGGCTCTGCACTCTCCTGCATGCAGTGCACTCAGAAGTGTGTGCTGGTGCAACGTGTGGTCTGGGAAGTGAGCTGTGTGCAGCCTCTCATGCATTCTGCAGCTGAGGCCCAGGGGATGGAAGTGACTTGTTCACAGCCTCTGAGCTGGCAAGCAGCAGAACAAGGCCTGCAGCTGCCCTGATCTCTTCCTCCCTCCTTCCCATTATCTCCCCAAGAAGACTGGAGAGCATGGCCCTTGGGGGACTCCGCATCCTACCGGTGTCCTAAAGAGCAAACATGGAATGCCTTGGCAGTTCCCCGTGGGGAACCGTGAGCACAGTCGGGGGGTCACCCTTGCAGGCTTCGCCACAGCCCCACATGGATGCTCAGCACCAGCTTACCCTCCCTCCTGGTACTGACTCAGTGAAGACTGAAAATGCTTTGCAAATGAGCAGCAGTCTCAGAAGGAGAAACCAGTTAGGATGTCCAGCCCTGGCTCACAAAATGGGGTAGCCCCTCTTAGTCTGTCCACTCACCATCCACGGGCGGGTGGTCATCCACCAGGCTGTGACACATACTGTTCCTGGGATGCTGGATACCACTGTTAGTGTCATCATTGTGCCTCAGTACTATGTAAAATGACGCATCGCGAAGTCTCCCTCCATGGTGGTCATGACCATTTGAAGTGAATAGATGGAAAGAGCAGAGCCCGACACATAACTGGTGCCATGGAACTGCAGGTCTTATGCCACTGAGCTGGGCACTGGAGACACACCTCCCTGACTCGGAGGCCCCTCTACCGTGTGCTCTTCCAGTATGATGGGTGTGTTCCATGCCCAGCGGACACCTGCAGACCCCATGCCTGCTCATCTGCCCAAGACCCCAATGTTTGCCTCTAAGACTTGGTAATTTCTATCATTGTCACACACACACACACACACACACACACACACACTCGCCCGTCCACGGAGCCCACATCCTCCTCCCTCTCTCACTCTGTTTCTTTGTTCCTCTTTACAGCCAAGCTCCTCCACACAGCCTCTCCTCCCTCTGTCCTTGGAGTTCCCTTGCTCAGGCTTTTGCCCACCACCCCACCTCCGAAACTGCTCTTGTTGAAGTGACAGTGACTCCTTACCTAAGTCCAATGGTCGAGTCTCAGTCTCGATGCTGAAGAACAAGGTGGCAGCATTTGACACCATGCTCTCTCCCTCCTCCGTGAAGCCCCTTCTGTCCTCGCTTTCAGGACAACAGTCCCTCGGTCCCCTCCTAACTCATCGACTGCTGCTCAGTCTCCTTGGCTGGCTCGTCCCAATGTTCCCAACCCTAGCCCTGAAGAACCCTCCTTCTGGTCCGCTCTCCTCTGGGTGCTCAAGGGGCTCCTGGCAGAGGAATCACTTACAGACCATGGATGCCTATGGCCGTGTCCACTTCGGCTCTCCTGCCTGCTCAGCACCTGGGTATGGCCCCCATCACACATCTCGATTTACTACACTGAAACAGTTCCCTGACTCCTGCTTCACCCAGCACTCCACATTCCTCTTCTTGCTGACTTTCCCTTCTCAGCGAGTGGTGGCTCAATCTTTCCATTTGCTGAGGTTCAGAATCTTGGAGTCATTCTTTGCTCCCACACTTTTCACACCCCTTTCCTATCTGTCAGCAAACACAATTGGTTCTCTTGTGGACACACTCAGCATTGACCACTTCCTGCCATCTCTGCCACCAAGTTGGATTTGCTTTACCCACACCTGGATTACTGCTACATCTGCACATCAGGGCCCTGCTTCTGGCTCGATCTCCCTTCACTATTCTCTACAGTCCCCAGGAAAAAATCCCTCTTAAACATGAATCAGATCAAGTCACTTCTTGTGTTCCAAAACCTTCCTCGGCTCCCATCACAATCAGAATCATAAAAGCTGAGGTCACCACAAGGGCCCCTCTGTTCCTGGGAGGTGGGACCCTCATTTCCACTTCCTGTCACACCTCTGCTCCAGACCACATGCCCAGAAAGGCCCTTCCTGGTTGTTCTTTAATGGCACACCTTGCCCCACAGGTTCTGCTTCACTCTGCTGCTTCTTTTCCCCATCTTCACCCAGATCCTGACACACTTGGCATTTTTCTCAGTCACACACACACACACACACACACACACACACACACACACACTGTGCCACAGGACTCACCGGAATTCGTGCTTACTGTCAATGGGTGGGTGGGATGGGTTTGCTTCCAGCAATCCGCTGCATAGTCAAGTAACAAGGGAATGGTTTTTTGTTGCCCTTGTCTAGCCATCATGAAGGAAACTGCCTCTTCCCCATGTGTGCCTCCCTGGGTGCCCAGCGGAGAGCCTTCGCCAGCCTCCCATGTGTGCACAAAGAAGTGAAGTGAAAAAGGAGCAAATGAAGGGTCCTGTGGTCACAGCAGTTGGTCTGGGCTGCACAAACCACTTCTTCCAGGAAGTGCTGTGCTTCACGTCCCTCTCAGCAATGATGGCCTTCTAAGTCACGCCACTATGTGGACCGAGGCCGCACAGGTGTGGCCTCTCACACTCACCATGGGCTCTGCCCTGCCCACATCCACTGTGCTTTCCCTTGATCAGCTAATCACTGCAGTCTACCAGGCTCTCCATTGCCAGCCTCAGCCACCACGTGCCCAGGGAGGAAACGGAGGGGCGCACTGGACTCTTCTGTGGTAAATGCTCCCTCCTTCTCTCCTCGATTTCCACAGGACTGTCCTTACTCCAGACTTCTCCTGAAAGAATGTCTACTCTCAGGCACAGCGTGGCCTGCTTTCTTCACCCCAACATGGCAGGCGGTGGGAGCAACACATGGAATTGCTCTTCTTATAGCTGCTATCTCCTCAGTAAGATGGGAAGCAAGGTCTTGAGCTGGAAGTGACCATGAGGAAGGAGTTGTTGGAGTTTTGAAGGAACTCCAAAGGGAGAAGTTTGAAATCATTAGGATTGGGGAGTGAACACAGAAGAAATAACACGGTGGCTTGCCAGGTGACAGTTAGTGTGCAACTGTCTTCTCAGGCTATGGTCACACACAGGTGTGGTGGCAGAGTAGGTGAAGGGTCATCTTTAATTAGGGCTGGGTTTGCCAGCACTGTAATGACTCAGATGAGAAATCCCATGCCATGGAGCAACAAGAGGAAAAGACATGAGTGCTAGACAGGGTGGCATGGAAGCCCAGTGGCCCTGAGGGCCTAACTTTGCTGGCAAGAGTCTGATGATAGATTTGACATCGGGACTGTCCCAGAACACCTCTTCCAGAAAGCGCCCTGCCCCACCTCTGGTGACGTGGGTTAGTCACTCTCTCCTGTGGTTCCCAGCACCGTGCTCACCTCTGCCCTATTTTAGTGCTTGATTTACTTGCGTATCTTCCTACCGAACAGTGAGCATATGGAGGAAGGACTAGGTCTTATATCGCTTGTATCAGACATAAGAAAGCCCACAAAGCAATAGGACACATTGCATTAATAGAACCCAGACCGGGTTCTGTGATCATCATAAGTCCTCGTATTTTTATAGCAATTTACAGGATCATTTTCACTTCTGTGGTCTTGTTTTAACCTTTCAACAGCCCTGCAAAATAGCAAATCATTCATTCGTTCACTCACTTATCTAAGACACTTGATGTGTTAGGAACTAATTTAGGCACTGGAATATAGGAAAAGAGAACAAAAACCGCTCACCTCTTGGAGCTTAGGTTTCTGCAGAAGGTACTGCTGTGCCTGTGTACAGACGGGCAGGCTGAGGTTAGCTCAGAGGGGCTAAGCCACATGGCCAAGGTCAAAGGCTTCTGGGTCAGAGAGTTCAAATTTGGGCACAGGGCTGGTTCGAGGAGCGTGTGTTTCCCCACAACAGCTACCTTGCAGATCATGGGCTCAACTATGAGGTATCTTTCTTTTTTCTTTTTTTCTCCTGACTTAACAACAAATAAAAGAGGAGTTGGCAGAGATCCACACCCTGGAACTACCTTGGAATTCCTCCCCTTGTCTGATGAATGTGTTTCACAAAGATGTGAGAAATACCTGCCAGGTCTCCTCTTGCTGAGCCAAGAAGACAGAAGCCACCCAGCGCTGTGAGCACAGCGTCTGCTTGTGTGCAAACCCACAGGCATTTTTAGCAACTTTGGGGAACATAAAGAAAGCTGTTGGTTTTGTTTGCACATATTTTTCGCCTCTGCAGAAAGCTCTGCACCAAGTGGCAGCCCAAGAGCTGCCTTTCATTTGATCTTAAGACTCGCAGCGTCTCTACAGTAATGAGGGCTCCAGGTGACCTCGCTTGGAATGTGGGTCTGGTCACAAAGGCCCCCCCTCCCAGGGTGGCGGTGGGGACTGAAGGTGAGCCTCCTGTGGGAGTGCCAGCCTGCAGGAAGAACTGTAGCCAGATGCGGGCAGCCCTGGAAGCAGGGGACTTCCTCAGGGCCTCTGTAGAGCCGCAGGTCAGTAGCCTAATCTGCTCACCCCTACAGCCTGAGCTTCCTCCTCAGCCGGGGTATTAGTGCATGTCCCAGAGGACCATGTGCATGTTAGCAACAGTGCGTGTGTGTGTGTGTGTGTGTGTGTGTGTGTGTGTGTGTGTGGTGTCTAACACAAAACCTGCATACAATGAGTGTCCAGTAAGTGGCACAAGATGTCATCACCATCACCACCACCACTGCTGTTAGGAATCAGCAATTCGAGGTTGTTGTTAGGACCCAGGATTATAGAGATTTAAGATACACCAAGCATTATGCCCCAGGTTACACTGTGCCCCCCATACCCAGAAGTATTCAGCGTGGCCAACTGCTTGAAAATTCAGAAGAACTGGGTAAGGCACAAGAGGAAGGGATTGAGCCTCCCCACCCAGTAGTTAGCTCAGGTTTGAGCAAGAACATGTAGTTCTTGTAGATTTCCTAGGTGACAGACCTTCACCTTCACCTGCTGGCTCCACATGCAGACTTACCAGGCCGGTATCATTATTATCTACATTGCATGAATTAGGAGACTGATAGTCATTGCATAACCTGACCAAGGTCAGACAGACAGCAGTGGTGGAGGACCAGAACCCACAACTGTCTGCCTTCTGAGCCCACTCACAACCTCTGCCTGGCACTACCAGGAAGGGCTCTGGTTTGAGGTTTCCTCTTCTTCTGACCTACTTGGGTCCCTGGCCCTCTGGTGTCTGACGCCACATATCAACAGGAAGAGCAAGGCTGCTCTCTCTAGAGACCTCTGTGTTGGACCTGCAAGGCCAGTGGTGGCATTTAGGGCTGTCTGTGTTTTCCTTTGCCCCATAATGGCAGGCACTGAAAGTCAAAAGGGAGGCAGACATTGCCGTTCATGATTATCCTTCCTAGCCAGGAACACCCCTCTGTGGTCAGATGTCACCTGCTGCTGCTAAGAGGAGCTGGGTGAGGGGCTCCCTGCCTTGTTACTGGGACTGAGGAGATGCTAGGTTCCACCTCTGCCTCTACTCTTCAGCTGCTTTCTCTAGGGTTTCACAACTGGTCTCCCAGCAGCCCAGCCCTAGGCACAGTCCCATAGCCCAGAGAGGGGAGAAGGCTGCCCACATTCACCCGCCATTTACCAAGCAGCCTGGGCTACCATATCTCATCCCTGGGGCCTCAATCTTTCTATAGTGCGATGTCAGACAATGATGGAGCTCAAATTCCAAGGGAGGCATTTATAAGCCAGTATCAGTTTTGATATCGAGCAGCTCAACAGTGCAGCAAGTACAAGCTCCGTCTCTAAAGTGAGAGTGACTTGTGTGAACGTCAGCTCTGCTACCAGCGTGGTGACTGTGTGTGAATTGCACACTGTCTGCAAGCCCGGGGTGGAGGAGCTGATCCCACAGTGAGGTGAGGACAGGAAGATACAACTCATGGAGAGCCCCCCGCCCGCCTCTCCACTAACTCAAGTGGGCACTGAAAGGGACACTGCATAATGTTTTATTCACTACTCATGCCAAAGCTCTACGGTGGGAGTCCACAACCAGGACACTCAGTCTCTCATGACTGATGAAACAAACACAGCCTTCACTGTCTGAGGAACTCAAGTCATTGGCCGAGACCAGAACCAACTGGGTCAGCCCAGTGTCCTCGGGGTGTCACATTGATTCCCACCACTGGCTTTTGCATGTGCTCTTCCCTCCACCTGGAATTTCTTCTTCCTTCCTCCTTTCTCACCCTGTACTGGGCACTGAGCACAGCATGGGCCCGTGCGAGGCTCACCCACACACCTCTCCCCCTGGGGACAAGGCAGTGCCACAGGCAGGGTGGGAGCTGCAGAGGCGCTGCCCACCAGCTGCCTGGCAGGAGCCTGCTCTCCTCCCCAGACTCCAACTCAGTTTGTGACCAGAATCATGGAAAGAATTAAGTTCACAAACTGGGGTACCACTGTTCAAGTTTGTGGAATTGATAAAGGGTTCAGATTGGGATCAGTGGATTTCTCCCTGCGAACAGTCCTACAGAAGGCATAAACACTTAGCTGCCTTGCCTCCTGGCTTTTAGTGTGTGCCTCAGCAAGGACGAGGAATTGGAATTATAAGCATTTTCTTTCTTTTCTTCCTCTTTTCTTTTTCTCTACTATTTTCTTCTCTTCTTTTTTATTTTATTTAGCAATGGAATCTTTTCATCACCTAACAAGTGCCAAATACGGAATGCAAAGAAAGTGTGCACATCCCTGAGATGGGCAGCGTTTGAGGTTTCCACCCTGCTCCCCACTGCCAGGGCCGAGTCGGCCTGCAGTTACCACATCTTGGATGCCCAAGCTCACCAGGACCAGGCACCACAACCAGTGATGGCTGTAAACATCCACAGAGTCTCAACACATGCCAGGACCACAGGCCCTTTACAGCGTCGTCTCCTTTGTTCTTCTACTCCCTTCCACCTCTTTCTCTGAGCCACAAATTCTTCCTTTTCAAATTATAAATAATCTCATATCGCTGATAGGTACCTTAAGTTCTTTGGGGGAACAAGTTAGAGTTATAAATAGATCCCAGTGGAAATGCAGTGTTTGTCCAATCCTCCCAACAAACCTGTGGGGCTGGTTTCAGTAATTCTGTTTCATAACTGAACTGAGAGGAAAGGTTGCCCAAGACCATTCCGGGAGATGGGTGAGGACAATCGTTGCTCCCACCCAGCAGGCTCTCGCCGTGCCCCAGTGCCATACGCACTAACGGGTGCACACTTACTCACTGGTCTAATCCCTGTAAAGGTCTGCAACCCGGATACTGTTGTCTCTGCTGCGTTACAGGTGAACTTGGGCAGGATCCCAGAGGCGAAGTCACCCACGCAGGGCCACGTGACCAACACACGCCCAATCACTCTGACGGAGTCAATGTGAGTGACAGGAGAGCCTACGTGTGGAGCCGCTGTGGCGCTCACACTGCTGCCTCCTGCCTCCGCATCCTACTGGCTTCCTTCCTGCCTAGCAAGTCCTCTCCCTCCCTCCTGGGTGGCCTGGGGCAATGCCGACCAGCCCGGGCCATCGGAGTGCTTAGCTGAGGCAGAAGCAGAAGCAGTGTCACCACCAGCAGCAAACCATTCTACCTGGGGCTAGTGCAGGCTTTCCCTACACTTTGGCCGTGACCTTGGGGAGTTACTCAACCTCTCTGATGTCTTCAGCCACAGAACGGGGGTAATAATACTGCCAATCTCAGAGGTCTTTAGGAAGGCATAGAGAACGCTTATAGCAGGATCTAGCAAAGAATAAGCGCTTGATACCTGTTAGCTCTGATGAGGTAGGTACTTGGGAAAGCCCAGGAATGAACAGCTGCTCTCTGGCCTATGGTGGCTGCCGAGTCCCTGTCTGAGGAGGGACTTTGCCTCGATGTGGCATTTTTGGACCACAGGGAGGCCAGAACTGGAGCAAGTCAGAGCCCTGAGAGAGGGCCACCTTCCAAAAGCTGGGTGCCACCCAGCAACAGCTCTGGAGCACCCGTGGAAACTCCAGGTCCAGAGAGATGAAGGAAGCAGAGAGCCTCTCACGTGTTCTTTTCATTGTGGCCAGATGCTCAGCACATCCTGTTTGTCGCTTTGGCCATCTGCAGCAGCAGCATTAAGTGCATCCACAGTGTTAGGAAGCCGTCCCCGCTATGCACACCCAAAGCCTTTCATCTTTCTAGCACAAACTCTTGCGCCCATTCCTTACGGACTTGCCTTTCTCTCCTCCCTCACACCCTGACAACCACAATTCTTCCTATCTCTAACTACATTTACAAAGTTTAGTGCAGCAAAATATGCATAATGTAAAACATGATTTTAGCAATTTTTACATCTGCTGTCCAGAGCAATAAGTCACTCCTTACTGCTCCCCAGGCTCTGGCGGCTGCCATTTTACTGTCTGTCTGCATGAATCTGGCTGCTTTGAGTGCCTGGGATAACTGGACCCGCGCAGTCTTTGTCCTTTCATGCCTGGGTTAATGTCTTCAAGTTGCTCCATGTCGTATTGTGTGTCCAAATGCCCTTGCTCTTTAAGGCCAAGTAATATTCCCTTTCGTGGTTATTCTACGTTTTGCTTATCCATTCCTCTGCTGCAGGATGCTCGGGTTGCCTCTACGTTTTGGCTCCTCGCATGAGGCCACAGTTTTCACGTGTGTGCATCTGCTCACAGCCTGAGTCAGCAACAGGTGCGCTTAATTCCCACCACGTGAAAAGAGGACGACGTCTCCCACTGTGGGACTTAAATGAGGTGATTTGCGCGGAGGGCAGAGTTCCTCTCTGGGAGTACTGCAGTCATGAACCCCTGAGGCCTCGCTCAGGCTTGGAGCCCAGGAGTGTCCAGGCCAGGGAGCCTGGGATGGGGAGGTCCAGTCTGCATGGGCTCTCTCGCCAACAGCACTGTCCTCACCAACACCGACTGCCCACAGCTCCTCGGTTTCCTCCTCAGTCTGGTGGGCAGTGACATCCAAACCTAGGGCAGTGGGGGGCCGTGTCCTGTCTCCGGAGTCTGCAGAGCTGTGCTGGGAAAGAGCCAGTGCATGTGGCG